TCCGGTAGCCTCTCCTGAATCTGACTCCGATTAAAAAACAATAAAAAAAGACCCGCTGCAATGTGTAAAAAGTCTGTATCTGTATGAATGTGTAAAGAAAGTGTTCTTCCACCTCCTCCTCACAACATCTGACTACCCGGCATAATTGGTGTCTGCTCCATTTTCATTTTTTATGGTACAGTACGGTTATTTTATGCTGCGGAACGAATTATATGTTTTAACATGTATTTCTATGGGAAAATGCGTTTCGTATAACGGACGTTTCACTTAACGGATGTGTACCTGGAACGGATTAAGTACGTTGTACGAAGCACCACTGTATTAGTAAAATATATCAAAGCTACAATTGTCTTTGTGTTCTGTTTAACGACGAAACATGAAGACAATTTTGTAGCTTTGATGTATTTTATTTATTTATATTTTGATGTAAAAATTAAAATTAACTCAATTGATACAGTTTGCTAAGTTTAAAGAACTGCTTACAAATTTAGTCTTTAGGTACAGTATCAAAAAATAAAAAGTGCTGAATAGAACTTGTTCATTCTTTATGTTTCTATTATACACAGCCCACACATTAAGTCAACACTTCACTGTAATAGTTTTAATATTCTTATTATCAACAGTGCATCTTTATTTAAATTGTAAAAACTAAAAACTTAATACAATTTTTGAAAAACTGGAAGAACTACATGTCTTTAAGTACAAAGTATCCCAATGACATGCATTAACCTAGTGTTTCTCAAACTTCACCATCTGGTAGATCTGTTTAATAAATTTTAACGTGTCAATTTGCATAGTTTGCTGTCAATATATTGGGTTGTTCGGAAAGTAATTTCATCTTTTTTTACCACTAGACAGATTAGTCATATTTTTCCCACCATTTTCATTCTAAACCGTATTATCATTATATATTTTGACAGCTAGCATTATAAAGCTTATTTGTAAAAAATTTTGTTTGATTTTGCACAATTGTTTATTTTTTGTGTCCCATCAAATATGGAAGATCGGAAGCATTTTCAGCATATTTTGCTCTTTTATTACCGAAAAGGTAAGAATGCTGTTCAAGCGAGAAAAAATTGTGTGACGCGTATGGAGAAGATGTATTGACAGAATGACAGTGCCAAAACTGGTTTACAAAATTTCGTTATCGCAATTTCAATATTGAAGATGCACCCCATTCTGGATGGCCAGTTGAAGCCAATGAACACAAAATAAAAGAACTGATTGAAGCAAACTGCCGAATAATAACAAGAGAAATTGCTAACAGATAAAATTTGTCAAATTGAACTGTTTATGATTACTTGAAACAAATTGGTTTTGTTTCAAAGCTTGATATATGGGTTCCATATGTTCTTAAGGAGAGATGCTATCTTTGGTGGGATTTTAAGGAAATTTTTTTTTTTGGAGTTTTTACCAGACAATTTAACAATTGATTCAAAAGTGTACTGCCATCGAGTAAACAAATTGAGTAATATCATCAGACAGAAAAGGTGGCCAGAATTGATCAACAAAACAGGTGTAGTGTTTTACCACGATAATGTCAAATTTCACACAAGTTTGGTAACTTGTCAGAAACTGTTATAACTTAGATGGGACTTGCTATCACACCAACCATATTCGCCAGATCCAACACACTCAGATTATTACTTGTTCCGGTCTATACAAATTTTTTTTAACTGTAAGACATTTACTTGAAATGACAATGTCAAAAATCACTTGGACCAATTTTTTGTAAGCAATGATCAATGTGAAATCATGCTACTACCAGAAACAATGACAACAGGTATTTGACCAAAATGGTCGATATATAATGTAATAAAATATTTATTTATTATAAAAATATTGTGTTTTTTTCCACAGAAAAAAAACGAAATTACTTTCCGAACAACCCAATATTTGTCTAGACCCACAGGGATCTGCTAACCAAATTATCTCAACCATCTGTACATGAAAATTTCTACTATTCAGCACTACACATTGTGCAAAAATTTTCAGTGTTTTCAGATGATGCTTTCAATGATGTCAAATAAAGAAAACAGTTAAGTATCTCAGAATGATTAAATTTATGGGAGAAGGCAATGCAACACCTAGAAATCTTGCAAGGAGCAATGCCTCTGAAGAAGACTTTCTACAAGAAACTGACTCTATTTTGGTGTTAGATTCGTAAAGAAAATGTGAAAAATTTCATGTGGCCAGCCCATTAGTGAGATGCAAACCTGCAACCAACTGCCAGTGTTTTATCCACTAAGACATTGATGAAACTAAGCAATAAGGAAGCCAGTATTAATTACCATGGTCCAGACCCAACTTGTGTTACTTTAAAATTTTAAATAATTTCAAAAAATTATAATGTTTTAATGAAATGATTTAAATTGTAAATGTACGTAATTTTTCCATTAACTTTAGTTAAAATAATTTAACT